TTTTAATTATGGTTAATGGTTCAAAAAACACATAACATAAAATTTACCATTTGTAAGTGTACAATTCAGTAGAATTAAGTATATGCACATAGTAGTGCAACAGATCTCTACAACTTTTTCATCTTGCTGCCAAAGACTCTTACAGTCATACCAACATCTGGACAGCACCCAAAGACTTACACAGTCACGAATACCCAGAGAAACATATAGTCACACCAACACTCAGACGACACCCAAGGACTTAGACACGAGGGTGTGAATCCCAGAGACTTTCACACAGTGCCACAACACCCAAAGACTTACGTACTGCCACGCAGCACCCAAAGAAACATACACATTATCACACCAACACACAGACACCACCCATAGACTCTCACACAGAGTCACACCAAGCACCAGAGATGCACACACATAGTCCCCCAACCCTTATAGACTTATACAGTCCCATCAACGGCCAGAGACCTGTATGCACAGTCTTATTAGGCCTGAAGGCTCTATCAACATTGCTTATACCAATACCCAGCCCTTCCATATGCATAAGCATGTCAACAACTGGAGACTGACCCTGTCACCTCAACACTCAGGGACAGAGTGAAACCAACACCCACAATCTCATACAGTCAGTTCTGCACCTGGATTCCCCCCCATGGTCACACCACTCTTCAGAGATGCACATAGATGTGCGTCTGTCTGTACCAACACCCAGAGACTCAAACACAGTCACACCAGCACCTGGAGATCTGAACTCACAGTTGTGCCAACAGACAGAAACATATCCATAGAGTACCCCCACCCTAGCACCCGGAATCACACAGTCATTCTAACATCTGGCATCTCGTGGAGTCACAATACCACCTAGGGAGACACATGCTCAGTCTTGGCAACACCCTGCGGTTCACAGACGTAACTACACCCACACCTCTGGACACACACAGAGCTGTGTAAGTCATTGAGGCCTCCCATACAGACTCACGCCAACACCAAGGACTCCCACACACCTGGACACTTGCCAGTGCTCATCTAGGCAGGGTCCTGCCCCAGCCCTGAGGGCTTTCACTGGGACGGTGTACCCTCAGGCCTGGCTTCCCACCTGCCTGTCTGCTGGCTCCTAGCTCCTCCTCCCCTGGCCCCAGGGCAATATCCAGGCTGGGCTCAGGACAGATCCCCTCAGCTGGGGCAGAGCCTCCTGAGGTGACTAAGTGTTGACTCTGTCCCCCACCTGTCCCCTCTAGATGCCCCCCAATCCCCAGGGGCAGGTGGCTCTGCCTGCTCAGCAACCAACCTGAGCCGCGTGGCAGGCCTGGAGAAGCAGTTGGCCATTGAGCTGAAGGTGAAGCAGGGAGCAGAGAACATGATCCAGACCTACAGCAATGGCAGCACCAAGGTGGGGCAGCGTACACACACACCCACAGCCACCAGCATGTGCATGCACCTGCACGTCACATACCTGCCAGCATGTGCACACACACCAGCACATGCACACACATGTGCACACACCCATACCCGCACACACTCCAGCATGTGCTCACACACACATATGCATGCACCCACCAGCACATGTACATGCCCATGTGCATGCACCCACCCACCAGCACATGTACATACCCACCAGCATGTGCACACCCACACCTGTGCATACTCCAGCATGTGCTTGAACACATATGTGCACACACCCACCAGCACATGTACACAGCCCTGCACGTGCACACACCCCAACAGCAAATGTGCACCCACCCACACAAGCACACACCCACATGTGCACACCTACCCTTGTGCCCACACACAACATTACATGTATGCACACACCTGTGAGCAGATCACAGGCTTGGGGGGCAGGGTGCCATCTACAGCTGTCCCCATGGGAGGCTGGGACCCTCTGGGTTGGGGACAGAATGGCTGATGGGTGACTTGGTGATAGGACTAGGGTACAGGTAGTTCATGGGAGCATATGGAAAACAAAATGACTGTGGGTGCTGTCGGACAGATATGGCAGAGATCATCCCCTTTCCCACTCAGTCTCCCCCAGACTCGAGGGCATCCATGGTCAGGGCAACATGCAGCCTGTCACTACTGATGGTGTGTTCTGACACAGGTATACGCAGTTATATCCACACCTTGACATACATATGCCATCATCATAACATCTAGAGACACACACAGACACGCAGAAACACAGAGTCCTGTGAACACCTAGGCACACATATGCTATCATGACATCTAGAGACACACAGCAGGAACAAATCTTAGCAACACGCAGAGGATCACCACCACAGCCACAGCCAGACACCTCGATGCACACACCATTACGTACATACCCAGAGATTGGTGGTGTCACACAGACACACAAACATCCCCAGTCATGCCACTCCGAGGAACACACACGACTCTGCACCAAGACCAAGAGATTCTCACACCCACAAGCACAGTCACACCTACAGCTAGAGACACAGTGTCTAGAGAATCCATGTGCTTGTGTGTGTGCACACAAATGTAAGTATCACAGGGGAAGACAGACCATGCAGGTTATCTTTTTACCTGTTGAGGTGTAACATACATATGTAATGTACAGAAAGCTTAGGTGTACAGCCCAATGAATTTTTACCTGTCTTTGCACCACCCACATCAAAGTACAGAACATTCCCAGTCTCCCAAAAAGTTCCTTTATGCCCCCTGCAGTCAGTACCCAAACTTATGGGTATTGCGAACCACGGGTTAGCTTTGCCTGGTTTTGAACTTCATATATGGAGTCAGGCCATGTCTTCTTTCCCTACTCCGATTTGCACATTTGTGGCGGTGTAAGCACCCACCTTGGGCTGAGGATTCCCCCGAATGTCTCAGCTTCTGTGTCACTGCTGAGATTCCTTGAGGGTCAGATAGTTCAGCTGCATGACAAAGTGCAGACTTTGGCCCAGAGAACACTGCATCTTAGATCACGCCAACTCAGATGCAGCACGTGTGTGCCCAGCATATAACAGGCGCTAATAAATATGCTTGCTGAAAAAATAAAAATATACCCTTAAATCTGGTGAGATGTTTCTCAACTTTTTATTCATTATCATTCCCCTAAGGAGACTCTTCTGACACTTTTTCCTAATCTTACCGCCCTATAAATTATTTTCTTACTGTGGTAAAATACCCGTAACAAAAATTTTATCATTTTTTTTTTTCCTTTTTGTCTTTTTTTGTGTCCGGCAACGGATCGCAACCCTCAGTGTCGCGCGCATACCGGACCGGGACCGGCAACGGGATCGCAACCCTCAGTGTTGCACCCGCACCTTGCTCAGCCAGTGAGCGGGAACTGGTCTGTATGTGGGATCCGAACCCTCGGCGGGAGCACCGCCACGCTCCCAAGTGGCGCACTGTAGCAGTGCGCCACCGGGCAGGCCCGAAAATTTTATCATTTTAATCTTTTTTTTTTTTTGGTTGGCTGGCCAGTACAGGAAGCTGAACCCTTGACCTTGTTGTTACAAAACCATGCTGTAACCAACTGAGCTAACCAGCCAGCCTTAATCATTTTAAACTGTACAATTCAGTGGCATTAGGTACATTCACAATGTTGTGCAACCACTACTTTTGTCTAGTTCCAGAACATTCTTACAACCCTGAAAGGATATCCCATACCCATTAGCAATCTCTTCTCCTTACCTCTCTGCTGGCAACTACTAATCTGCTTTATGTTTCTATAGATTTCCCTACTCTGCACCTTTCATGTAAATATATGTGGTCTTTTGTGTCTGGCTTCTTTCACTCGGCGTACTTTTTTTGAAGCTCATTCACTTTGTAGCACGTGTCAATGCTTCATTCCTTATTATGGCTGAGTCATATTCCGTTGTATAGTTGGGCCACATTTTGTTTATCCATTATCAGCTGATGGACATTTGGGTTGTTTCCACCTTTTGGTGATTTTGAATAATGCAGCTATGAACATCTGTGTACAAGTATTTGAACACCATCCTATCAAATTTTAAAACACAGATCCACTGTCCATCTCTTTATGTATATCTATGCTGTATACACCGAAAGAGTAAAAGTTTTGCACCTCCCAAGAACGAATTTCTGTCCCCTTGGGGTGACATTGCCCCCACTGAACATGAATAGAGTAGACATAAATCTCTTGCAGTGTCTTATCCGAATGTTAACACAGCACAAAGAGGATGGAAAAATCCACAACCAGTTTCCGACACTGGTACACACAGAGGTCACGGGCTGTACCCAGATGTGGTCATAACTTGAATCCCACATTCAATCACGTGGTCCCTTGCTTACTGCAGACTGTGTCACACACCTACCCAGTCACCCTCGTTGGCTAACCCATATAGCTACAGTCAGGGCTATATCCTCCATGGGGGCCATCCAACCACATGCACGCCATTCTGACAGCTAGTGCAGACATAGCACCTGCTGGTGCCAGGCACAGCTCTGAGCCCTCCACGCAGATTAGCTCCTAAAGTCCTAGTCCAGCGAGGGGTTGGCACTTTTAGTACAGTCGGCTTTCTGTATCTGTGGGTTCCACACCCGTGAATTCAACCAACCACGGATCGAAAATATTCAGAAAATTGTGTCTGGGCCGGCCCGTGGCTCACTCGGGAGAGTGCGGTGCTGATAACACCAAGGTCCCGGGTTCGGATCCTATATAGGGATGGCCGGTTAGCTCACTGGCTGAGCGTGGTGCTGACAACACCAAGTCAAGGGTTAAGATCCCCTTACCGGTCATCTTTCAGAAAAGAAAAAAAAAAAAAAGAAAATTGTGTCTGTACTGAACATGTATAGATATTTCTTCCTTGTCATTATTCCTTAGACAATACAGTGTAACATCTATTTACATAGCATTTATATTGTATTAGATATTGTAAGTGATCTGGAGATGATTTAAAGTAGACAGGAGGGGCTAGCCACTTACCTCACTAGGTTAGAGCAATGTGCTGATAATACCAGTAACCCTGTACTGGCCAGCTGCCAAAAAAAAAAAAATAGACGAGAGGATTTGTGTAGGTTATATGCAGGCACTATGCCATTTCATACAAGGGTCTTGGTCCTAGATCCAGTCCCCCATGGATACCAAAGAATGATTGTACTCCCATTCTGGGGATGAGGAAACTGAGGTCCAGAGAGGTTGAGGGGCTTACCTGAGGTCACACGGCTAAGTGGCAGAGTCAGGATACAAACCCCATGGACTACATCGCTCCACTGCACCCAGGAATGCATAGAAGTGTGTGCTGTGTGCACTCACACACATAAGCACTCTGTCACACGGTCACCCAGGACCGTCGTGGTGCGGGCAGCAGGGCTGGTAGCCAGAGCCCAGCTGCCCAGCCTTCCTCTCATGGCCCATCTCTGTCCAGGATCGGAAGCTGCTACTGACAGCCCAGCAGATGCTGCAGGACAGTAAGACCAAGATCGACATCATCCGCATGCAGCTCCGCCGGGCACTGCAGGCCGGCCAGCTGGAGAGCCAGGCAGCCCCGGAGGAGTTCCAAGGTGAGTCCTCGCCCTGAGATAGCCTAGCCTGCATCCCACTTTGCAGAGCTCAGCCTTTGGCCTCAAAAAGGATCCCTTTCTGGGGCAGGGAGGTGGGTGCTGTGACACACTATGTGACTGGAACCTATTCCTGATCCTCTCTGGGCCTCAGTCTCCCATTTTGTCCCATGCAAGGTTTTGACAAGATCAGGTATCAACAAACTACAGACCTCAAGCCAAAATCGACATGCTGTCTGGCCAGCTGGAGAGCCAGGCAGCCCCGGAGGAGTTCCAAGGTGAGTCCTCGCCCTGAGATAGCCTAGCCTGCATCCCACTTTGCAGGGCTCAGCCTTTGGCCTCAAAAAGGATCCCTTTCTGGGGCAGGGAGGTGGGTGCTGTGACACACTATGTGACTGAAACCTATTCCTGATCCTCTCTGGGCCTCAGTCTCCCATTTTGTCCCATGCCAGGTTTTGACAAGATCAGGTATCAACAAACTACAGACCTCAAGCCAAAATCGACATGCTGTCCTTCTTTTGTTAATAAAGTTTTATTGGCACACAGCCACACGCATTCATTTACTGTGGTCCAGGCTGCCTGTGAGTTCCAACAGCAGAGCAGAATAAAGGAAACACTTTGTGGGACGTAACACTGATAATATTTCCTGTCTGATTCTTCACGTAAGAAATCTGCAGACTCCTGGACTGGATGGTTGCCTTGACACATTGGCCCCTGTGTGTGTAGAACCATGGGTGTCCCCAGCATGTGTGTATGTGTGTTTCTGTGTGTGCATCTGTGTGTATGAATGCCTGGGAGTGTCTTACAAACTGAACGTGTTGGCACTGTCAACCTGAATTTGTGACAGGGTCTTGGTGTATTGTGTGAGGGGTTGGCAGTATTTGTACTAATGGTGTGTGGCAGTGTTAATGTGACTTTGACTATAGGGACCTCAGGTTGTATGTATGCCCTAGTAACTATGACAGTTTGTTTGTCACCATATGAGGTAGAGGAGTGTCAGCTGTTGGTGGAGTTTGTAACTCTGATGACAACATGTATGTTTTGCAATGTGTGTGTGTGTCAGTGTAACTCTGGGTGATTGTGTGTCTGTACTGTGGACACACGTGGTCTTTGCAGTAACTTTGTGATGGTACAGTCACATCCCTCTGCCTCTGGTGGTGGTGTAACCATGGAGGACTGTGTGACTTTGTCCCTGAAAGTCTCGGTGACTGATTGAGCATTGCGTGACAGTAGGCCTACATCCTGGAGTGTGACGTGTTTCTAGACAATGTATCTGTGAATACTAGGGTCCCAGTGACATTGTGTCTGCATTGTTGGTGTCTAGATGAGTGCCACACACCTGTGGGTACAATGTGACTGTGAGTGTGACCCTCTGTGAGGAAGTGCCAGGGTTTGAGTTGGGGGTCATTAGGTCTGAGACTGTCCTAGGAACCTACAGTCATGGGTAAATGTGATCATGACCTAGTGCCTACAGCTGACAGATTTCCTAGACCTGTGTGACAGTATGTCCTTAGGCCTCTCCCTGTGCCACTGGGCAGCTGTGTGCTGTGATGGGCTGTGATTGTGTCCCTGAGACTTCACAATGGGTGTGCCAGCCGGTCTGTTGCCCTGTGACATTGAGTCTCTGTGTTTGTGGGTGTCGTTGATACTGCCCCTTCGTATGACAGTGTGATGGCATTACTGTGCCTGTCCCTATGCTTTATCCCTGTGGCAGTATGATTTTGTTCCTCTGATTCTCCCTGGGCCAGAGTTAGAGCCCTGGGACTTTTGCCACAGTGTGACTCTGTCCCTTTTTTTGACCCTGTGTTTGGGTATAAGGGTGTTTGTGTCTTGTAACTGTGTCTCTCTACCCCTAGAACAGTGTTCCTATGTCTGAGATGACAGGCCTATGTCTGCATAATGACAGAGCCTGACCCATGGACAGTGACCCTGTGTGGCAGTGTGACTGCATCTTTGTGACAGAGTGTGTGTTCCACTGAGGGTGACACTGGTAACAAAGTGATAATGCCATTGTGTCCCTGTGGGCAACAGGGTGACAATGACTGTGTAACAGTGTCTGAGTCATCTCAGGTTGCCATAACAAAGTCTAAGTGGCTTAAACACCAGGAATTTATTTTCTCACAGTTCTGGGGGCTGGAAGTCTGAGATCAGTGTGCCAGCACGATCGGGTTCTGGTGAGGGCTCTCTTTCTGGCTTGTAGACAGCAGCCTTCTTGCTGCGTCCTTACATGGTGGAGTGAAAGAGAGAGGGAGAGACCAAGGTCTCTGGTGTTTCTTTTTATAAGGGTACTGATTCCATCACAGGGTCCACCCTTAGGACCTCATCAAACCTTAATTACCTTCTGAAGGCCCCACCTCCTAATACCATTACATTCAGGGTTAGGTTTTCTACATATGAATTTGGGAGGGGGACACAAATATTCAGTGTCCCTGTGAATATTGATGAAATCACTTTCCATCAGGACAAAATAGAGCCGGGAAAAGCATGAAGGAGGAGGCTCCTGCTTGCTTGTCTGAGATAAGAACTGTTTCCATGGACTTTTCTAAAATCCCTCAGAAATCCCTTCATGTCTTTCACATCTGTCAGGCATCTCCTGTTTGCATGTATGCACATGTTTCTGTAACAAAGTTCATCAGTAGACATTCTTTAGAATTGCAGTAACCAGATAAGATGCTCCTAGAAGAAACTGCCCAGTAATGGCATCTTAACCAGTGAACTGACAACAAATCAGACTTTGAGCTCCTGAAACCAATGAACTCTGTTTCCAAGCAGCTTACACGAACCTCTCCCTTTTCATCCATAAAAGCTTTCTCTTACCCTTCCCTTGCTGAATGCATTTGTAGCTTGCCATGGTATGCATTCAGATTACGGTCCTATTTCTTTTCTTTTCTTTTTTTAGGGGGAGGGGTCAGCTGGCCAGTACAGGGATCTGAACCTTTGACCTTGGTGTTATAACACCATGCTCTAACCAAGCGAGCTAACTGGCCAGCCCCTATAGTCCTACTTCTATTCCCAGATAAACTCAACATACTTGGAGATATTTTTCTCTAATGTATTTCTTCTAGGTTAACACCCTGTGGCTGACACCGTCTGTGTGGCAGTGTGATTGTATCCCTGTTGTTATCCAAATGCCCATGGATGTCGCTGAGCCTGGTTGATAATGTAACTGCATGATGGTGATTGTTCAGTGGGGAGATGTGTCAGCATCTATATGACAGTATGATTTGTGACCCTGTCCCTGTGGGTGACAGACTCCAGGTGAAAAATGTGATGGTGTCTAGGTGACAGTGACTGAATCCAGGTGATAATGTGACTGTCCTTGTGGGCCACAGCATGCCTGAGTCTGTCCCTTGGCTAACCTCTGGGAATGAAGAGGGACCATGACAATGTGTTTGTCCCAAAGACTAGGTTGACAGCATGCCTCTCCCTCTTTTCCAGTAAAAGCTCTTACCCTTCCCTCACCCAATGTGCTCGTGGTTTGTCATGGTATGAATTCCAGATTATAATCCTATTCTTGTTCCCGAATATACTCAACATATTTGGAGATATTTTTCTCCAAAATATCGCTCAGACTCTCCCTGCATAAGTGGAACTTTGTCCCTGGGACTGTCCCTGTGGGTAATGGTGTTTGGATAAAAGAGTGACTGGGGAGCAGGCCGGTTAGCTCAGTTGGTTAGAGCACTGCCTTGTAAAGCGAAGGTCAAGGGTTCAGTTCCCCTTACCAGCCAGCTGCCAAAAAAAATACCTCTGAATGCAAGTGTGGCTGACTGCCTACCGCGTTCTGGGAGAAACATGAGGCATCTTGGTGGCGGTATGCCTGTGGCCAATGCATGTTCCTGCGGCTGGCAATGTGTCCGAGACCAGGTTGGTTGAACCTGGGCCCAGGGCTGCTCTCACTGCCCCGTGTTCCACGCCCGCAGGGGGTCCAGACCTGGGAGCTGTAGAGCTGCGCATCGAGGAGCTGCGGCACCACTTCCGAGTCGAGCACGCGGTGGCGGAAGGCGCCAAGAACGTTCTGCGCCTGCTCAGTGCAGCCAAGGCCCCAGACCGCAAGGCGCTCAGCGAGGTGAGGGGAGGGGCCTCAGAGAGGAGCGGAGCTTCATGGATGGGCGGGACTTCTCTAGAAACGGGCCATGGTGAGGGGCGGGGCCTCAACTAGGGGTGGGGCATTAGCCTGCATGGATCACTGTAAGGCGTGGAGCCTTAATGAGAAGGCGGGGTCTCAGCCTGTGATGGGCCACGGTAGGGGGCGGGACCTCGGCGAGGGGCGGGGCCTTAGAAGGATAAGGGCCACCTTGAGGGGTGGGGCCTTGATGAGGGGTCAGGGTCTCAGGCAGGGATGGACCTTGGTGAGGGTTGGGGAATCAGCAGGGTTGGGACCAAGTTGGTTCGAGATTTAGTCTTCTAGAGAGGAGCCCAAGGTAGGGGCGGGACCAGAGTCTGCAACCCCACCCTTCCCTCTGCAGGCCCAGGAGAAATTGACGGAGTCTAACCAGAAGCTGGGGTTGCTGCGAGAAGCACTGGAGCGGAGGCTTGGGGAGCTGCCCGCCGACCACCCCAAGGGACGGCTGCTGCGAGAAGAGCTCGCTGCGGCCTGCTCTGCTGCCTTCAGCGCCCGCCTCGCCGGGCCCTTCCCCGCCACGCACTACAGCACCTTGTGCAAACCTGCGCCTCTCACAGGTGGGCCTCAGACCTGGCCCCATTTCCTGCAGCTCTTGGGTCTGATTTCCCTTGCCCTGAGACCCCCAACCCAAATCTCCACTCTCCCCAACCCTGGGCTTTCTCCTATCCCACTGTCCCCTCCTCTCTCCAGTCCCCCAGTCCTCTTGTTCTGGACTCTGTTTCTCTGGCCAGACTAGCCCCATGCACCCTGGACTGGCCGCCCTGCTTTGTCCTGTGATTCTAGGCTTCTGCCCAATCCCCACTTCTCCCCACCTTCTCCACCCCTCCCTACCAGGCCTGGTCTTTTTGCACTAGCCCTGGTCCCCCAGCCCACCTGCATTTTCAGAACCCTCAGCCCTGCACCTCTGACCCTGCCAGGCCAATCAGCCCTACTTTCCCTGGACCCCTCAGCCTCTGAACCTCCAGACCAGCCCTACCCTAGACCCCCAGCCTATCTTATACATCACATCAGCCCACTGAATCAGCCCACTGGACCCCCTAGTTATAACCTGTTCTTCCTTGCCTTGAGCCCTGACCTCTGCCCCGAACCTATCTTCTGTCCCTAAACCTCAGCACGCAGAGCCCCTCCACACTTTGGTCCACCCCAGCCCTGCTCACAGCCCACCCCAGCTCACTTCCCACCCCCCAAACCACTTGTCTCATATTCTTACATCCAGGCAAAGGCATCCCTGCTTCAAACCCCCTGCCCCACCCTGGTTGTCCCTCATCAGCACCCACTTCTATGATGGCAGCTTTTGGATGTGTCCCCTTCACCTACGACCCCCTCCCCTCAGCCTGCCCCAGATGTGGCTGCCCCTGAGCCTAACTGCCTTTCCTACAGGGACCTTGGAGGTACGCGTGGTGGGCTGCAGGGACCTCCCAGAAACCATCCCCTGGAACCCTTCACCCTCGGTGGGGGCTCCTGGGACCTCAGACAACCGCACCCCCTTCCTGAGCCGCCCATCCCGGGGCCTTTACAGCCGAAGTGGGAGCCTCAGTGGCCGGAGCATCCTGAAAGCAGAAGCCGAGAACACCAGTAAGTGGGCATCATGGGCACTGAGAGATGAGGAGGGGAGGGGGTCCTGAGATGCCCCATATTTCTAACCCTTTAAAAAATGAATGCATCACACCCATTAGGAAGACGACTATAAAAACAACTGCAGCAAAACAAAACAGAAAATAACAAGTGTTAGTGAGGATGTGGAGAAATTGGAACCTTTGTGCACTGTGGGTGGGAATGTAAAAATGGTTCAGTTGTGAAAAACAGTATGGAGATTCCTCAAAAATTAAATTACTAAATTAAATTTAAATTTAATTATTATTTATATCGAATTACAGTATGATTCAGCAAGTCCACTTCTGGATACCCAAAAGAATTAAAAGCAGGGTCTTGACCATTCCACTATGTAAACATATTTCAAAACAACATGTCATATAATAAATATATATGATTTTTATTTTTCATTAAAAAAAATAGTGATACAAGGAATTTTAAAAATAATGAAAGCAGGATCTCGAGATATTCATACCATTCCACTATGTAAACATATTTCAAAACAACATGTCATATAATAAATATATATGATTTTTATTTTTCAGTAAAAAAAATAGTGATACAAGGAATTTTAAAAATAATGAAAGCAGGATCTCGAGATATTCATACACCTGTAATTATAGCAGCACTATTCACAATATCCAAAGGTGGCAGCAACCTAAGTGTCCATGGACAAATGAATGGATAAACAAAATGTGGTAGATCCTTACAACGGAATATTATTCAGGTTTAAAAAGGAAGGAAATCCTGGGCCGAGCCCGTGGCGCACTCGGGAGAGTGCAGCGCTGGGAGTGCTGCAGCGCTCCCGCCGCGGGTTCGGATCCTATATAGGGATGGCCGGCCGGTGCGCTCACAGCGCTCACTAGCTGAGCACGGTGCGGCCGGTCTCAAAAAAAAAAAAAAAAAAAAGGAAATTAGAAAGTATTTTGAATTGAATAAATGTGAAGAAACAACATATCAAAATTTATTGCTTACCACTAAAGAAATACTTATGAGGAAACATATAGCGCTACATGGCTATATTCAAAAAGAAGAAAGGTCTTAAGTCAATGAGCTCAGTTTCCATATTAAGAAATGATAAAGAGAAGAGGAAATTATGAAGACATTATGCTCAGTGAAAGAAGCCAGTCACAGGACAAATATTATATGATTGCACTTACGTGAGGTCCCTAGAGTCGTCAGATCTGTAGAGACAGAAAGTAGAATGGTGGGTACCAGGGGCTGGGGGGAAGGGGGAATGGAGAGTCATTATTTAATGGGGACAAACTTTCAGTTTGGGAAGGTTAAAAAGAGTTCTGGAGATGTGGTGATGGTTGCACAAGAGTGTGAAATGTTCTTAATGCCACTGAAGTGTACACTTAAAAATGGTTGCAATGGTAAATTTTATGTATATTTTACCATAACTTTTTAAAAACACTAATACGTACAAAAAAAAGTGCATAAAAAAAGAATAACAGTAGACCAAACACTCATGTTACCACCACCCAGTTCAAGAAATAAAACATTGCCAGCTCTCTAGAAGACCTCTCAGGCCCCCTCCCCAATTCCAGCCGTTGCCTGTGTCCTAGGGGTAGTTGCTCTTTGGAGTTTTATAGTTTTCGTTTCCTTGCTTTTCCTTGTAGTTTTAGCACCCATGTACACATGTCCAAACAATGTGGTTTAATTTTGCCTGGTATTTGAACTTTATGTAGATGGAATCATATGGGTTGTATTCTGTGGCACTGGCTTACTTCATTCAACATGTTTGGGAGATTCATGCACATGGTTGTGGAAACCGTCGCTCATTCATACTTATCCCTGTTGAATAGTCCATTGTGTTAGACTGAGTCATATCAAATTGCCTTTTATTTTAGGTAAAAAAATCATTGAATATCAACAATTTCATAGTTCAGCTACTAAGACTGTATCACAGTTTATATATTAATTCTCGTCTTAACTCACAATGGGATGTTTCTAGTTTGGGCCATTATATAAGCACAGTATGTATTCATCTCCTGATGTACACCTGCATGCATTTTCCCAGATAGATACTTAAGAGTGTGGCTGGCCAGTTAGCAACTTGTTTAGAGCACAGCATTATGATACCAAGGTCGTGGGTGCTGATCCCCATACAGGCCACCTGCCAAAAGAAAAAAGAAAAATGGAGTATATTGCTGGGACTTCCATGTAGAATAAAAGTGAATTTGGATCCCTACCTCACACCATACTAAAAAAATCAGCTGGATTAAAGCTTTCTTATCAGGCTGGCCCGTGGCTCACTTGGGAGAGTGTGCTGCTGAGAACACTAAGGCCCCGGGTTCGGATCCTATATAGGCATGGCTGGTTGGCTCACTGGTTGAGAGTGGTGCTCACAACACCAAGCCAAGGGTTGAGATCCCCTTACTGGTCATCTTTTAAAAAAAAATAATAAATAGGGCCGGCCCGTGGCTCACTCGGTAGAGTGCGGTGCTGATAACACCAAGGCCGCGGGTTCGGATCCTATATAGGGATGGCCGGTTCGCTCACTGGCTGAGCGTGGTGCTGACAACACCAGGCCGAGGGTTGAGATCCCCTTACTGGTCATCTTTTAAAAAAAATAAATAAATAAATAATAATACTAATAAATTATATAATAAATAAATAAATAAAGTTTTCTTATCAAAGGCAAAACTATAAAGCTTTGCCAAGATAGCATAGCAGAATGTTATTGGGGGGAGGGGAGGTTTCTTTAAGAAGATACTAGAGACCCTCCTCCCCCAGTATTTCCTGGCGGTGCCCTTTCCCACCTTGTTTTAGGTGAGGTCAGCACTGTGCTCAAGCTGGATAACACAGTGGTGGGACAGACGTCTTGGAAACCGTGCGGCCCCAGTGCATGGGACCAGAGCTTTACCCTGGAGCTGGAGAGGGTAAGTGGAGTTGGGGCACAACAGGGCTTAGAGGAGAAGGTGTCCTGGGTGTTGGGTACCCCAAGCGATGGCCCTCTTCCTTTCCCTCAAGGCACGGGAACTGGAGTTGGCTGTGTTGTGGCGGGACCAGCGGGGCCTGTGCGCCCTGAAATTCCTGAAGTTGGAAGATTTCTTGGACAACGAGAGACATGAAGTGCAGCTGGACATGGAACCCCAGGGCTGCCTGGTGGCCGAGGTACAGCCTGCCCCCTGCCCCTGAGAAAATGCCTCCTGTCTCTCCTGCTCCAGTTTTCTGGAAGGGGAATGTATTAGTTTATTTCTGTTGCTTATAACCAAATACCTGGAACAGGATAATTTGTAAAGAAAAAAAAATTTATTGCTTACAGTTTTGAAGGTTGGGAAGTCCACAGTCCAGGGAACACATCTGGTGAGGTGACTCTACAGCAATACAAGGGTCTCACATGACAGAAAGTGGTGGAACACAGAGAGAGAGAGAGAGAGAGAGCTCACGTGCTCTCCTTTTAAAGCCGTCAGAACCACGCCCCTGACCAGCATTATTAATCCGTTCACTATGGCACGGTCCTACAGTCCAATCACCTCTTCAAGGCCCCACCTTTCAATGACCATAATAGGGTTTCCCACCCTCTTACCACTGTCACAGCGTGGATCAAGCTACTAATACATAAAACTTGGGGGATACAATTCAAGCTTCAATGAGTTTGGGGGGGACATTCAGTCCACAGCAGGGAAGATACATTTTTAGATTGGTCTCTGAATCGTGATACTAATAACACCAAGGTCCAGGTTTCGATCCCTGTACCAGCCAGCCGCTACCAGCCGCCAGACACACACACACAAAACAATGACACAACGACTTTAGCTGGGATTGGTTTTGTTCTGAGGCAAGATATTTTTTTTTTTTCCTTTTTGTCTTTTTTCGTGACCGGTAACGGGATCGCAACCCTCAGTGTCATGCCTGCACCGCGACCGGCAATGGGATCGCAACCCTTGGTGTCATGCCCACACCACGCTCAACCAGTGAGTGGACCGGTCTCTATATGGGATCCGAACCCTCAGCGGGAGCGCCGCCGCACTCCCAAGCACCACACTCTACCGAGTGTGCCACCGGGCCGGCCCGAGGCAAGATATTTTTATTTATTTATTTTTTTGTCTTTTTCCGTGTCCGGCAACGGATTGCAACCCTCAGTGTC